CCATGCAGTCATGCTGGCCAAATGTGTTTTCTGATGGCGTTTGGTGATACCTCTGAAACCCCCTCATGACCCCCCGCAGGGGTCCCAACCCCCAGGTTGCTCTACAGTGCCGAATGGATGTAGTTGGAGACCTGAACTGCCACGGCTCAATGCTATGGGATCCTAGCATTGGGTTGAAGGTAGTCTCAAATGGTATTAATTCTGGTGTCTATGCATTCCATTGAAGTTCTATCCAATTGCTATCATTTGCTATCATCTAGGGGAGAAGGAAAGGTGGGGTGTTTACTAAACAAAAGGATGATACAATAAATAATAATTATCATAATAATACTGGCAAACAAGATCTGTTTTTGATGCATCTGATGAAACAAGTTGCTATTCTTGAAAGAATAAAGGCAAATGTAGATAAATATTGGCAAATACGGGTCAGATTACGGGCAAGATGTTTTGTCTATATCTTTGCAAGACGTTTGTGTGTGTTTTTTGTATTTGTGACCTCATTGCAAGCACCTATAGATCATATGAGAGGAAAGCCATGGCCAGTGTTCCAAATGGCAGATTTATGACAAATCTGTGTGCAGGAAGGGGAAATGCGGCCTTAAACATCCTGTGCCAAACGTGACTCGCCGTTTCCTTTTCCCTTGGCTTGCTGACTATTGCATTTCCTCTTCATTTCCCCAGGCAGGTTTTGAACTAGGTTTGCTGGGTCTTATTTGGGGGGGGGGGGTTGGGGGATTTGCTGGGTCTTATTTGAAATGTTGGCCCCACCAATACATAGAATCCTAGAGTTGGAAGAGACCCCAAGGGTCATCCAGTCCAACCCTTTTCTGCCATGCAGGAAAACAATCAAAGCCCTCCTGACAGAGGACCACCCAGCGTCACCAACATTTTAGCAGGGAATCTCCATAGAATCCCAGAGTTGAAAGAGACTCTGTGGGCCACCCAGTTCAACCCTTTTCTGCCATGCAGAAAAAGCACAACCAAAGCCCTCCCGACAGAAGGCCATCCAGCCTCACCAACATTTTAGAGGAGAATCTCCGTAGAATCCTAGAGTTGGAAGAGATTCCAAGTGCCATCCAGTCCAACCCCCTTCTGCCATGCAAGAAAAGCACAATCAACTATGTTTTTTTTAAAAAGTATTTTTTCTTGTGTCAGTTGCTTGAGTTTCGGTTAAATGAAAGTGCTGTCCATCCCAATATTGGTAAATATTGCTACGTCCTCATACAAATTAATGGAAATCAAAGTTGGATCTACACTGCTTTGAGTCTCCTTTATGCAGAGAAAAAGTGGGGTATTATTAATAATAATAATAATAATAATAATAATAATAATAATAATAATATAGAGTCAAATGAATGCCATTTGACACCAGTTGAACTGCCATGGCATGGTGCTAGGAAATTCTGGGAGTTTAGTGAGGCACCAGCCCTCTTTGGCAGAAGAGATGGAAAGCCTTGGAAAACTACAACTCCCAGGATTTCATAGCATTTAGCCATGGCCATTCATGTGGTGTCAAACTGAACTCATTTGACAGTGTAGATGCACCCAAAGTTAGATGATGATGGTGATGATTATTGTACAAACCCTAAACATCTCATCATCACCACCACCACTGTATTACATAAACACTAAGCTGCTACTTGGTATTTAATAAGCTGTCTCATTCTGTTTATGTATTTATATAATCCTTGAACAATTTTCCAAGCTTATGATTATTATCATTGTATTATTATTATTATTATTATTATTATTATTATTATTATTATTATAGCCCAAAATTTATTATCATCACCATATTACAAGAGTCCTGAGTTTATTATTATAATATAATGTACGAAATTATATTGTATATACATATATTTATAATATTATAATGTAATACAATATAATACTACTACTAATAATACGATATTATAATTATATATTTTATATTACACGTAATATTACTAATAATATTACAATATAATGGTATAGTACAATATAGTAATATATAATACTGATATTATACTATGCTAATAATACAATATATTGTATGTATATATCTCTTGTAAGCCGCTCTGAGTCCCCTTCAGGGTGAGAAGGGCAGCATATAAATGTCATAAATAAACAAATAAATAAATAATGATAATAATATGAACCCCAAGCTTAATATCATCATTACCATATTACATAAGCCCAAAACTTATTATTATTAAATTATTATTATTATTATTATTATTATTATTATTATTATTATTATTATTAAAGCCCCAAGCTTATCATCACTGTATTCATGAGCACCAAGCTTAAATTATTATTATTACTAGCGGTCCCCTGCCACACATTGCTGTGGCACCGTCTGGTGATCTGGGAAATAAAGTAATCAGAAAGTGTTGGTCTCTAATTTTTGTAATTTAATTATGCTTGTGGGTAAATTGTATTTTTTTGTTGTTTCTTTGTCGGTGTTGATGTGGAGATTGTGTGGTTTGCCTACTCTGGAACATGCAACATATAATTGTCCTTCTTTAGGTGTCCCTTTCAAATCTATGATACTATATCTGTGTGTGTGAATCATATCTATCTATTAATATCTATGGCTGGATTCCTCTTTGTCAGGAGGGCTTTGATTACGTTTTCTTGCCCTGGTGAAGGCAGTTGGACTGGATGGCCTTAAGTATTTTCTGTTGTTCATGGGGGTTCTGTATGGGAAGTTTGCACCAATTCTGTTGATCGTGGGGTTCGGCATGCTCTTTAATTGTAGGTGAACTATAAATCCCAGTAACTACAACCCCCAAATGTCAAGGTCTATTTCCTCCAAGCTCCATCTGTGTTCATATTTGGGCATATGGTATATTCATGCCAAGTTTGGTCCAGATCCATCATTGAATCCACAGTGCTCTCTGGATGCAGGTGAACTACAACTCCCAAACTCAAGGTCAATGCCCACCAAACTTGTTTAGTGTTTTCTGTTGGTCATGGGAGTCCTATGTGCCACGTTTGGTTCAATTCCATCATTAGTGGAGTTAAGACTGCTCTTTGATTGTAGGTTAACTATAAATCCCAGCAACTACAACTCTCAAATGACATTTTTTAGTGATGGTCACTCCTTGGGTAAGTAAGTGTCTTGTGGCCAAATTTGGCAGCAATTCATCCAGTGGTTTTTGAGTTATGTTAATCCCACAAATGAACATTACATTTTTATTTATATATATTAGTAGTAGTAGTAGATTAGCTCAAAGCTTATCATTGTTATATTACACAAGACCCAAGTTTATTATTATCTTCTTGTTGTTGCTGCTACACAAGCCCAAAGCTTATCTTCTGCTCCTTCTGCCCCATCTTTTTATATAAAGTCACCAAAGAGGAACAGATCGCATGGGTTCCTTAAATCCTGGCATTAAAAACACTTTTTAAATTTTTATTTTATTTTATTTTTTGCTGAGATGAGCCGAGCACTCGAGAGGAGAAGCTTATCTCGATGAAGATTTACTGCCTGGCACATTATGGGGATTTTTGCCTTTGCTAAGGAAACCCTCCTTTCTCCCAAAGGATTTCTGCCCCTGGCACCAAAGGGGCAAGTGGACAAAAGCCTGTGAAGAGGTGCCAAGTTATGTCCCAAATAAGGGCGGCCATCCTGGCACAAATATCCAACATGACCACTTTAAATTCTGGCAGGGTGTGGATGGAATTGACCTTGGATACTGGGAGTTGTAGTTCACCCACATCTAGAGAGCGTTGTGATCCCAAACAATGACTGATCTGGAGCAAATTTGGCACAACTAACCAATATGACTAACTTTAAATACTGGCAGGGTTTGGAGGGAATTGACCTTGGATGTTGGGAGTTATATTCACCCACATCCAGAGAGCATTGTGAACTCAACCAATGACTTATCTGGAGCAAACTTGGCACAAATAACCAACTTGACCAACTTTAAATACTTGCAGGATTTGGAGGGAATTGACCTTGGATGTTGGGGGTTATATTCACCCACATCCAGAGAACATTGTGAACTCAACCAATGATGGATCTGGAGCAAACTTGGCACAAATAACCAATTTGACCAACTTTAAATACTGGCAGGATTTGGAGGGAATTGACCTTGGATACCAGCAGCTATAGTTCACCCACAAAAGCATTGTGAACCCAACTGATGATGGATCTGGAGCAAACTTGGCACAAATAACCAACATGACCAATTTCAAATACTGGCAGGGTTTGGAGGGAACTGATCTTGGCTGTTGAGAGTTATAGTTCACCCACATCCAGAGAGCATTGTGAACCCAACCGATGATGGATCTAGAGCAAACTTGGCACAGATAACTAACTTGACCCACTTAAAATACTGTCAGGGTTTGGAGGGAATTGACCTTGGATGTTGGGAGTTATAGTTCACTCACATCCAGAGAGCATTGTGAACTCAACCAATGATGGATCTGGATAAAACTTGACACACCGACTCATCATGACCAACTTTAAATACTGGTGGGGTTTGGGAGCAAAAACCCATGATGGGAGCTATAGTTTACTCACATCTTCATGCATTTGTAGTGGGAGTTCTCATAATATCCAAAAGTAAACTAGAATGTTTATCCATACCAAATACCTAAGCTAGTATAATAATAACCATCATCATCATCATCATCATCTTGTAAGGCTATCAAATCCTTTCTCAAACAAATACCTTGAGAAAGAAGAAGGCGGCTGGAAATGCAGGTATTCAAACTAATACGATGGTATCAAGATCAAACCAAGGGAGACTTGGGAGGCATCTACACTTCTAATTAACACAGTTTGACACCACATCAAATGTGGTGGCTCAATGCTATAGAATCCTGGGAGTTGCACAAAGTCTTTAGCTTCTCTGACAAAGACCTAGAGCTTCCAGGATTCCAGAGCATTGAATCAAACTGCATTAATTCAACAGCGTAGAATAAATGCACTCCCGGTTAATGTTTTCCTATCTGAAATCAGGATTTGGTTCTCTTCTTTAAAAAAATAAGAAACACAGACAGATAGATGTATTATATATAATATATTATAAATAAACAGAGAATATAAAATGTACAAAGGTCTTGGATTTCAAAACACTGATGAATCCCCCCCATCCCACCCCAAGATTACATGAAATTGCGTCTGATCCAGTACCGGTGTCCGATTCCGCACCAAATGCATTAAAAAGTTTTATTTGGAGGTAAGTATGTAATACTGAAATGGTCATTCAAAGAAATCTTTTTTAAAAAATCATGTGCACAAAGTCCACACATGTTTTGAAAAGGAACTTCAGAGGAAGGCAATCTGACCCTGTAGTTGCTTAAGTCTAGTATGTTGTAAACCTCCTTGAGCCCCCTCAGGGGTGAGAAAAGGTAAAGGTTTTCCCCTGACATTAAGTCCAGTCATGTCCGACTCTGGGTGGTTGGTGCTCATCTCCATTTTGAAGCCAAAGAGCCAGTGTTGTCCATAGACACCTCCAAGGTCATGTGGTGGCATACAAATACAGTAAATAACAATAATAACAAACCGGGATTGAATCCACCACTATGCTCAAAGAACTGGCCTTCAAACTCAAAGAACAGGTTCCTTACAAAGATTCAATAAAGGGCCAGCTAACACCTCCCAACAAAGGATCCCCCCAGGCAGGAAGCAGCCAGGCTTTGAAGCTGCAAGGCTACCCTAGACATTATTCCAAGGATATATATACCCCACTTTCCTAATTCCCAAAAGACCTCACAACCTCTGAGGATGCCTGCCATAGATGTGGGCAAAATGTCAGGAGAGAATGCTTCTGGAACATGGCCAGAGAGCTCGGAAAACTCACAGCAACCCTGTGATCGTGGCCATGAAAGCCTCTGACAACATATTCGACAAATCCCTCTCCTTCTTGCAGGCAAAAAATCAAACTAATCAAAATAGCATCAGGGATCGTTGATTTAGAATAGGCACAATGCCCAAAATGAGCTGAAAATTCAATTCCTAATGATTTCTTCAAAAACAATTTAGAGAAAATTGAACTTAGAAGAACATGAATGTCACGCTGCTTTGGTTAAGAAGCAGTCTGACACACTGAGAACAAGACAGTGCCGAATACAAGCCTTAAATGAATACACACAAGGCCCTCCGTATCCACCGGGGTTCGGTATACAGTCCCATTATCTACAATGGTCTACTGAAACGGCACCCCTTCTATAAAATGGCAAAAAATGCTTTGCCTTTGGGATTAAATTTTTTTAAAAGCAATGATGGATGGAATCTGTGGATGCAGAATCCATGGATACAGAGGGCTGACTTCCATTTCAAATGGGTGCTCCCAAAACCTTTCTTCCAGTTAGGAAACAATGCAAGGGACCCACTTGGCAGAGGGATGAGTACAATGTACAAACTGTCAATTTAAATATCATGTGTGTGTGTATTGGTCATCCCCTGAGGCACCTCATTAAGAAGTAATGTGGCAAATCACTTAATGAGGACTAGTACAGTGCAGAGTCCAAAGCCCTAAAGTCTCAGGAATGTGTTCTTTTTGCAAGACAGTCTTCTCCAAAGGCCATTCAAAGGGAAAGAAGAGGTCCGAGAGAGTGTTTGTTGCAAGCCAAAGCTGAACTGGCATCTTTCTGGGCAGCAAAAGGGTACAGAAACAGCAAATGGCATCCTTCTGGGTCCTTGGAAAAGCCTCAAAGAGTCACTGAGCCAGGGAGAAGGCGGAGAGGAGAGTACTAGTCTTCAGCCCCGCCTGCGTGGGCATCTTTCAGGGCATGGCGAAGGCACAAAAATGGTGAGAAACAGCTCAGTGAAGGTCGAGCTGGTATCTCTCTGGGCATCGAGAGGCAATTAAAACAGTGAGAAGAGTGCTAGCCTTCAGCCCAGCCTGCGTCGGCATCTTTCGGGACCTGAATGAGTCACAGAAGCGGAGGAGAGCTGGCATCTTTCAGGGCGCTTTCCAAAGTACATCCAGAGGCACCGCCAGAGATACAGAATTGGCAAGCGGCATGTTTCTGGTCACTTCAAAGGCACTTAGAGGTCCAGGAGAGCACTAGTCTTTGGCCCAGCATGATTTTGGGGCATTGGAAAGGAACAGAAACAGTGCCACGAAGACCAGGAGAGCTGGCCATTGACTGGGCCCTTCAAAGAGCATCAGGAGGGACATTGGGAGGTCCAAAATGGGGAATAGCACCTTCCTGGGCCCCTCTGAGGGCACCAAGAGGCACAGAAGGGTTGAGAAGACATCCAGGAGAGCCCTCGCCTTCAGCCGCAGCCAGCGTAGGCATCTTTGGGGGCACAGAAGGGTCAAGAGGAAGTCTAGGCATGAGCTAGTCTTCAGCCACAGCATCTTTGGGGGGCACTTCGAAAGGCACCAAGGCACAGAGAGGGTGGGAAGTGGTCCGGAAGGTGAGCGACCCTGGACCCAGGCTGAGCTGCCATCCTTTGGGTCCCTTTGAAGACCACCAAGAGGCACAGAATTGGGGAGAAAAAAAGTCAAGGAGAGCGCAAACCTTCACCCCAACCTGACCGGGTTGAGGGCCTTTTGAAGGGGCCTGACGAAGACGTCTGGGAAAGCCGGCATCTCTCTGGGGCCCTTGGAAGGCCCACCAGAAGGGACAGAAATGGCAAAGGGCATCTTTCTCGGCCCTTAAAAGGGCAAAGAAGAATGCAGAGTCAGTCCAGAAGAGGGCCAGTCTGGGTGGGCATCTTTTGATGGGCATCAAGAGGCACAGAAAGGGAGAAAAGCAGTCCAGGTGAGGGACAGTCTTCATTGTGGCCTACGTGGACATCTTTTGAGGGACTCTGAGGGGTGGAAGGGTGGCAAATCAGCCTAGGAGAGGGCAAGTGTCTGTGGGCATCTTTCAAGGCACTTTGATGGGCACAGAAAGGGTGAAAAGCAGACCAGACGAGGGCCAGTCTGTGCGGGCATCTTTCAGGGCACTTCAAAGGGCGGAAGGGTGGAGAAACAGAACAGGTGAGGCCAAGTCTGTGTGGGCATCTTTGAGGGCACTTTGAGGGGCAGAAAGGGCAAAAAGCAGTCCAGGCGAGGGCCAGTCTGTGCAGGCATCTTTCAGGGCACTTCGAGGGTGGCAGAGTGACAAATGAATCCAGGCGAGGCCAAGTCTGTGTGGACATCTTTCAGGGCACTTTGAGACATGGAAATTGTGAAAAGCAGTCCAGGCGAGGGCCAGTTTTCGTCACAGCCTATGTGGGCATCTTTTGGGGCACTTCAAGGGGTGGAGGAGTGGCAAATGAGTCCAGGCAAGACCGAATCTGTATGGGCATCTTTCAGGGCACTTTGAGGCACGGAAAGTGCGAAAAGCAGTCCAGGCAAGGGCCAGTCTTCATCCCGGCCTGTGTGGGCATCTTTCAGGGCATTTAGAGGCACAAAAAAGTTGACAAACAGTCCAGGTGAGAGCCAGTCTTCATCTTGGCCTGTGTGGGCATCTTTCGGGGCCCTTCGATGGGCACTGAGAGGCAGAGAAGAATGGAGAATCAGTCCTGTGGAGGACCAGCCTGGGTAAGCATCTTTCGGGGCACTTTGATGGGCCTGAAGAGGAGAGGCCCTGGCGTGGTTCAGGGCCCTTGGGAGAGCCTCCTGAGCAGGCCTGGGCCAACTTGGGCCCTCCAGGGGCTTTGAACTCCAACTCCTGCCGTCTGTTAGGAATGGTGGGAGTTGGTGTCCAAAGCCGCCGGAGGGCCCAAGTTGGGCCAGGCCTGCTGCTCCAGAGCCAGGGCAAGGGGGCTTTCCTTCTTCGCTCGCTCGCTCGGGGGCTCAGACGTAGTTCTTCTTGTCGTACTCGGCGGTGGGGCTGGCGGAGGGGCTCCTCCGCGGGGCGGCGTACTTGACGGGGAAGGCGGGGGCCTGAGGCGGGTTGCTCCGGAGGGCGGCGGCCAGGATGAGGCTCCCGCCGAGGAGGAGGAGGGCGGCGGCGGCCCAGCCCAGGTAGAGGGCGGCGCCCATCTCGCGCTTCTGCGAGGCCTGGACGGCCGGGTCGTAGAAGTTGCGGATGATGAGGTGGGCGAACCAGGAGGGCGGCACGAGGACCAGGAGGCCGCAGGCGGCGAAGAGCGCCCCTCCGCCGCCCGCCACCCGCGCCTTGACGCGCCCGGCCTTCAGGCAGGTGGTGCACCGGGCCCCGGCCACCGTCACCAGCAGCGCCGCCAAGCCCAGCAGCGCCGCCAGCACCGTCAGCGTCCGCCCGGCCTGCACCTCCGGCCGCAGCGCCAGCACCGAGTCGTGCACCTTGCACTGCATTTGGCCCGTGCTCTGCACCACGCAGTCCATCCACAGGCCCTCCCACGTGCTCTGCGCCACCACGATGTTGTGCTCCAGGAAGGCCGAGACCCGCCACATGGGCAGCGCCGCCACCAGCAGCGCCCCCGCCCAGCCCAGCACGCTCAGCGCCAGCCCCAGCAGCTCCAACGCCGCCCAGCCCATTGCCAAGCTCCGCTAGCCACACCGACGACCCTCGCCGGCGTCTGAGGGCCGGGCGCCGACGGGGCGCCCTTTATAGAGCCCGCCGAAGTTCTGTCTCCGCCCACGCCTCCGAGGAAGGGCCAATCGGCAGAGAGGAGGTGCCCGGACCGGGCCAATGGCTGTGTCATGCGCCCAAAGCGCGTGGGACAGAAACCAGCCTTGCAAGGGAAGCGTAAGGAGGGGGAGTCCCAAGTTTGGGGAAGACTCCAGCCCAGAGTTTCTCAACCTTCCGAATGCCACGACCCCATCATACAATTCCTCATGTTGGGGTGACCCCAACCATCACATTATTTTCGTTGCTACCCCATAACTGTAATTTTGCTACTGTTAGGAATTGTCATGTAAATATCTGTTATGCAGCAGGATGTATCTTCATTCATTGGACCAAATTTGGCACAAATAGCAGATACGCCGAAATCTGAATACTGGTGGGGTTGGGCAGGGGGGTTGATTTTGGCATTTGGGAGTTGTTGGGATGTATAGTTCACCTACAATTCTGAACTCCATCAATGATGGAATTGAACCAAACTTGGCACACAGAACTCCCACGACCAACAGAAAATACTGGAAGGGTTTGATGGGCACTGAACTTGAGTTTTGGAGTTGTAGTTCACCTACATCCAGAGAGCACTGTGGACTCAAACAATGATGGATCTGAACCAAACTTGGCACAAATACTTAATATGCCCAAATTTGAACACTGATGGCGTTTGGGGAAAATAGACCTTGATATCTGGGAGTTGTAGTTGCTGGGATTTATAGTTCACCTATAGTAAAAGAGCATTCTGAACCCCACCAACGATAGAATTGGGCCCAACATTCCACACAGAATCCATATAACCAACAGAAAATGCTGTGTTTTCTAAAGGTCTTTGACAACCCTACTGACAACCCCTTGCAACCCCCCCCCCCCAATGAGTCCTGACCCCCAGGTTGAGAACCACTGCTCCAGCCCAAAAGGAGAGGCTAGTTTGTTGTTGTTTATTTGTTCAGTTGCTTCTGACTCTTCGTGACCTCATGGACCAGCCCACACAAGAGCTCCTTGTCAGCCATCTCCACCCCCAGCTCTTTCTGAGTCAACCCAGTCACTTCAAGGATACCATCCATCCATCTTGCCCTTGGGCAGCCCCTCTTCCTTTTTCCTTCCATTTTCCCCAGCATCATTGTCTTCTCTAAGCTCTCCTGTCTTCTAATGATGTAGCCAAAATACTTAAACTTTGCCTCTAATAGCCTTCCTTCCAATGAGCAGTCGGGCTTTATTTCCGGGAGTATGGACTGGTTTGATCTTTCAGTCCAAGGCACTCTCAGAATTTTCCTCCAACACCACAGTTCAGAAGCATCTATCTTCCTTTGCTCAGCCTTCCTTATGGTCCAGCTCTCACATCCATAGGTTACTACGGGGAAACCATTGCTTTAACTATGCAGATCTTCATTGCCAGTGTGATGCCTCTGCTCTCAACTATTTTATCGAGATTGGCCATTGAGGCTAGTACAGGCATGTTAGTACCAGCAGACTAATAATATTGCAGAATATTAGTATAGTACAAAATAATAATAATAATAATAATAATAATAATAATAATAAAGAATGCTTCTACCTCACAATGTCTCCATGGAAGCATTCTGGAGCAGGTTCTGTGACTGGCTTTCTTTCTTCCATCTCCCTCATCTGGTTGCTTCCACAGACTACCTATTACAATGCAGCCTGAGCCCTGCCACATGCACAATGGAGGACCTTCTTATAGCAACACTAGAGGCACTCCAAGTGGCCAGTTACTGGTCAAAGAACATTTTATATAATGCCAAGTTTTTAAACTTTGTGTTTTCTCAAATACATCACAACTGTACCCTTGGTTCACTCCTGATATGATAAATAAATACATCTCCCTCATACACCTCCCTCCTTCTTTACTTCCTTCCTTCCTTCCTTCCTTCCTTCCTTCCTTCCTTCCTTCCTTCCTTCCTTTCTTTCTTCCTTTCTTTCCTTTTCTCCTACACCTCACTAATTCTTTCCCTTTCTATTTCGTTATGGCTCTTTCTTTCCTACCTCCGTTTCCCTCACACACCTTCTGCCTCTTTCCTTTCCTTTCTTTCCTTCCTTTCCCTCTTACACCTTCCCCCTCTTCTCCCTCCCCTTTATCTTCCCTTCTTTCTTATTTGCTCCTATCCTCTCTTTTTTTACCTTCCTTTCCCTCATTCCTTTTCACTTCTCGTTTCTCTTCCCTCCTTTTTCTTTTTTCACCTTCCCTCCCTTCTCTCTTCCTTTCTTTCCCTTCTTTTTCTCTTTCTTTCCTTCTCTCCTTCCTCCCTTCCCCTCATACATTTGTCACCTAGCTGCAGCCAATCCACTTTGCTCCTTTTCTTTTCCAGTGACATCACAAAGGGCGGCAAGTTGCTTCAGGTGTGACAGAATCAGCTATCTACAAAGACGTTGCTCAGGGGACACCTGGATGTGTTAACGGTCTGCGGGGAGGCTTCATGTCCCAAGAAGAATGACCTGCCTCAGTGACCTGCTTGCTCCATCAGTGTTTAGCATTTACAATAATGACCAGCCGCTACCAGAAGGGACAGAGAGTTTCATCTATGCTGACGATCGTGCCATCTCCGCTCAAGCAGGGAGCTTTGAAATGGTTGAACAGAAGCTCTCCGAAGCTTTAGGTGCTCTTACTGCCTGTTACAGGGAAAACCAGCTGATCTATTTAAAATACAGATGTGTGCTTTTCACCTTAAGAACAAACAAGCATCACAAGCTCTGAGGATTACCTGGGAAGGAATCCCACTGGAGCATCGCAACACATCCAAATACCTGGGAGTTACTCTGGACCGTGCTCTGACTTATAAGAAGCACTGCTTGATTATCAAGCAAAAAGTAGGTGCTAGAAATAATATTGTACAAAAGCTGACTGGAACAACCTGGGGATCACAACCAGACACAGTGAAGATATCTGCCCTTGCACTTTGCTACTCAGCTGCTGAATATGCATTCCAAGTGTGGAATACATCTCACCATGTTAAAACAGTGGATGTGGCTCTTAATGAGACATGCTGCATTATCACAAGATGTCTACACCTTGCACCACTGGAGAAATTATACCATTTAGCTGGTATTGCACCACCTGACATCCGCCAGGAAGCAGCAGCCAATAATGAAAGGACCAAGGCAGTGACATCTCTAGTCCATCCTCTGTTCGGATAATAGCCAGCATGCCAATGCCTTAAATCAAGAAACAGCCTCCTAAGATCAAGAGAGATACTCACAGGATCTCCTCAGCAAGTGAGAGTCCAAAAGTGGCAAGCTAAAACCTGGAATTTCAATCAGTGGCTGAGACCAAATGAGAAACTCCTCCCTGGGCACACAGAAGATTGAGATACTTGGAAGGTGATGAACAGACTGAGATCTGGCACCACGAGATGCAGAGCTAACTTTAAGAAATGGGGCTATAAAATGGAGTCCACAACATGTGAGTGCAGAGAAGAGCAAACCACAGACCACTTACTCCAATGCAACCTGAGCTCCATCACATGTACGAAGGAGGACCTCCTCACAGTGACACCAAAGGCACTCCATGTGGCCAGCTTCTGGTCAAAGAACATTTAGTACAATGCCAAGTTTTTAAACTTTGATTGTGTTTTAAAATATATGTTAACTGTACCCTCAACTTGCTTCTGACACAATAAATAGATATTACAAAGGGCCACTTCACCTACCAGCAACCAATCCACTTTGCTCCTTTTCTTTCCCAGTGACATCACAAAGGGCCACTTCACCTAGCAACTGCCAATCTGCTCTGCTCCTTTTCTTTCCCAGTGACACCACAAAGGGCCACTACACCTAGCAATTGGCAATCCGTTCTGCTCCTTTTATTTCTCAATGACACCACAAAGGGCCACTTCACCTAGCAGCAGCCAATCTGCTTTGCTCCTTTTCTTTCCCAGTGACATCACAAAGGGCCACTTCACCTAGGAACAGCCAATTCACTCTGCTCCTTTTCTTTCTCAATGATACCACAAAAGGCCACTTCACCTAGCAGCAGCCAGTCTGCTTTGCTCCTTTTCTTTCCCAGTGACATCACAAAGGCCACTTCGCCTAGCAACAGCCAATCCACTTTCTATCCCTCTGCTCCAGTCATTTTTTAAATGTCTCAACCCTTGATTATTTTAAGTTGGACAACGAAGGTCTGTGTGGGAAGTTTGGTCCAAATCCATTAAGCCACGGAGGAACCTTCGTGGCACAAACCAACCAACATCCATACTTTGACTTTTATATAAATAGATTTTAAATAATTTATTGCATGCAGGAAAGATTAGGTGCATGGAGCCATCTGAAAACAAAGGAATTGCTCTCTGAGCAGATTTTTAGATTACACTGTGTAACACTTACTTCCAAAGTAAGTACCGTACAATTGAACAGGAAATAACACTTGGAACAGTATTTCCAAATTTTGTTACATAGTGTGGTTGTTGCTGTTGTTGTTGTTGTTGTTGCTGTTGTTGTTGTTGTTGTTATTGACAGCGGAATATGTAAATTCCCAGCAGCATCCTGCCTAATCCTATATTTGTTTTTGGTGTAAGCAGAAGCTTAAAAAGTCTGATTTGCAACAATAGGTGGTCATGAAGGGGAGCATTTCTAGGGTAGCCTTTCTTTAGATGCCTGCCATTTTTCCTCCCCATTAGAACTGTTTGAAATCAGTTCTGTATCACTGATCCATGGCAGTTCAAGTCATGTCAAACTGCATTCCACAGTGTAGAGATGCACCCCTAGGCCCATCAGCCAAGCTAGCATGGACAATGGGGTATGTAGTCTGCCGCCTGGCATGTGGTAGAGTCCATGAACCCCTCTGGATGAGTCAATGGAGGCAAGATGTGGGTGCAAAGAGTGTGGGATCGAAGGGCTTTCATAATAGAAGGCTCCTCCTTTTGATCAGGGGCACAAAGGTCTTCACTTCCTCAGTGAAATAATGCAAGAGGTTTTCCATGCCTAAAAAAGGA